TCTCTCTCCCAGCCCGAGGTTCTCCCCCAGCCCGGGGGTGTCTCTCTCCCAGCCCGAGGTTCTCCCCCAGCCCGGGGGTGTCTCTCTCCCAGCCCGAGGTTCTCCCACAGCCCGGGGGTGTCTCTCTCAGGTTCTCCCCGAGCCCGGGGGTGTCTGTCCCCCAGCCCGAGGTTCTCCCCGAGCTCACGGCCCCGGCCTCCCCTCCCGGTGCCTGGGGCGCGGCCGGTGCGAAGGCTCCGCACAGGGTTGGCAGAACAGCTGCCGCGACTGATAGGGCTGTTAACTTCCATATATTTCCCCTTGAAAGGTTTTTATTCACCCCTGTTGCCGGTGATCATACTCAGCAGGTGCTTGTGAATAAAAGGGGTATTTACAGCGATATTTCTGCTGCTGGTGGTGGTAGGAAATCCTGTAGGAGTAATTCCTCTCAGATACTTCCTAGTGTTGTCAGGAAGTCAAAGTTTACCAGGCGAAATTTTGCTGTAGCTTTTTCAAAGCGGTAGTGAAATGGTCAAGTGTCTCGTTACTTATTGTAAGAGGTTTGGAAAACTTGCAGGGAAGTTATATAAGAGAGTTCCCTCTCCACGGACTGAAGGTGTTCCAGTGAGGGTTTGGTGCTGGGAGAGAGTAGATTTTCCTTTCTGCTGTGGGAAGGGATGTGGAGAATTGAACAGCTAGAACATTTCAGCTTTAGCTTTACTCTGTAGCTATGCAAAGTGCCCTGTTGGGATTGTCACGCTCTGCTGGGAAAGTGGCTGTGCCTGAATTCTTCAGTGCCTGCAGTTCCTGAGCCTCACCAGGCACTTCCTGCTGCCTTCGCGTTGCTCCCGAGGAGCACAATAACTCTGTGAACTGTTAAATCACACACACACTCCTCGAGTCAGTGCTGACAGGTGAACAAGGCTACTGGGAACTGGGAGGAGATTGATTTTGGTGCACAGATAGGTGTGTTTATACCAGGCTGGTTTAAGCAGCTGGTTTCCACTTCCAGTTCCTTACAAGAAGAGCCAGTAACAAACACTTCATTTGTAAGAGCATAAGGGTGAAATCAGTATGTGGAGGTTCTCTGTGTTAGTACAGCCAGCTGAGCTCTGTGGGCTGCAAAGACGTTTTGAGGATTGTCTGTGTTGCACATCCTCCTGTGCATGAAGAATGGATTTGTTTGGGGTTTCATTTCCTGCTCTCTGGAGTGGGGAAAAAGCTTGTCACAGGATTTATCATGGCACGGATGTGTGGTCACTTCTGTCCTGTGAGCTGAGATGTCAGAACTGTGTGGAAAAACCTTCGTGTCATCATCTCTGTATCGGGCAGTAACCCATGAGCTGTGGTGTTTGAGATTTCCTGGGTGTGTGCATTGAGAAGTCAGCTGGGGGGGCAGGTCAGTAGGTTTCACTTTGTAGTGTTTAGAGAATCCTTCCTGGCTCAGACCAAGTTTTGATCTGCCCTTTCAGTTTCTCAGTGTGGGGCTGTGAGCACATACTTCAAATGCTTTATGGGCAAAGTGAACCTCAGCTGAAATGCAAAGTCTGTTTTCTAGATAAACTGAACCTCTGAATCCTTTTTGATCCAGTAGAGCTCCAGCAGTCATCATGTCATGCATCCAGCTGTGGCAGCATTAGTGCTGCAGCTCTGAGAGCAGAGCTCTCCCAAGTCACCCTTCAGACACTGGTGTGTCATTCACCTCCTGAGGTGTGTGACAAGGGACTGATTTTTCCCTGTGCTCTACTTCCTGAGTGATGATCTCAGCCATCATTTCCCAGGAAAAATGTTTCTTCTGTGTGTCTTCATGTTCAGGGTTGAACTGTGTGAACTTAATACTTTTATACAGGAGCAGGATGCAGTTGAGTTGTGCTAAACTTGCTGCAGCTTTTGTGTCACATCCAGGCCTGAACACAACTCAAAAACTCTGAGTGCAGGTTGACATACTATTTTTATTTTCTTTTTTTTTGTGCTTATCTCCCAGTGCACAGAGCAGCAGTGGAAGTTGTGTATGTTCTGTGTCAAATACAGAGTTTAAGTTATACTCAACAGCCAAAAATCATCAAAGAGTTCTAGGTTTGGTGCAGTCTCCTGAGATCATGGGAACAATTTAAAGATCAAAATCCTGCATTAGGATGCAAGGAAAAGGATATATGTGGTAATCCCTCCTTGCATTAATGTATCTGAAATTGGTATAAAGTAGCTGTCAGCAGATCCAGCCTTGCTGTCTTGTGTCTGATTCATTTTCACCAGGAACATCACCAAACTTGCTCACTTGTTCACTTTGTAGTTTAGCAATTGCACAGTTTGACTTACAATCAAGTTGGACTTAAAATTGCACAGTTTGACTTAAAATAGGAGGAAAAGTCACAGTGGTGAGAGTGATGTGGAGCTGTACATTGAATTGTTTTGGCAACTGGAAAAGTTAAGCCCCTCTGTCTTGTTGCCCTCAAGCACAGGTGTCAGTTTTTGCTTCAGGGTCTGCCTGATGCCCCATGTCAGTCACCTCCACTGGCTGTGGCTCCTGCTGGATGCACAGCACCAGCTTTGCTACCACGGATAACTTTTTTAGGGTGAGCATTGCTAGCTTGGGTTCAGCTGTGTGTGTCATCAGAGTTCATAAAGCTTCCAGGCTAACACTCAGCTCTGTGCCACAGAAGTGCCACTGCAGCTTTAGTCAGCTGAAACACAGAGTTTCGATCCTGTTGTCTTCTGAGGACTTTGCTCTCGTTTAAGTGGTGTAATTATGTCATGGTTAATTGGCAGGTTATTTTGAGCTAATCGTTTTGGATTACTCCTCTCTAAGATAGCACTTTTAATGGTACAGCAAGTTTGATAATCAGGGAGCAAACCAAGAGATTGAGGCATGAGCTTCCTCCCCAGCAGCAGTGATCCCTTGACTCAGACACTTGTAGATGATCTTTTCTTAGGGGCAGATGTACTTGGCTATGTGGCTGAACTAGAAATACCAAGTTCAGGGCTGGGAGACTCAAATTTTGCTTGTAAAGAAATGGCTTTTGGAAGTGCATTCCCAACTTAGATGAAAAAGTGGAAGCTCCTGAAATACTGCATTTTTCTTTTGGGGGTATGTTCAGGTTTTTTTCAGCTATTAAACAGAATTTTGTTTCAAAATTGGATCTGACAGTGAAAACAGAGGGTTTTTTAATAGCAGTGTGTTACTGGATCATGAGGTCTCTGAAGTGGCTAGTTAAAATAACTTACATTTATGAGCTTGGTTCTGTTTTATAGGCTCAGCTGAAGAAAAATAACCTCGTCCTTTTGTTAGTTCAAAGGTGTGACATGCACAGCTGCATGAGTTACTTTTTGTACATGCTCAACACAACTTTGTGTATTCAAAATTATGTTGAGATCATAGTTAAAGCTGCCAGTGGTTCCCTTCAATCAGGAAAAAAACCCTTTCTAACTGTCTCCATTTTCACAAATCCTTTGACAAACTGCATCAAAGTGGTATTTTGTGTGGGAGGACAGTGTGTGGCAGGAAATACACATTTAAAAAGATTGTGGTTCTCGGGGCATTGCCTTAAATAAAGAAGACATTTGAACCCTGCAGGAATCCGAGTGGATGCAGCCAGAGAGGGATGCAGCAGTGATGAGTAATGGAAGGTGTGGCTTCTGGAACTCACCCACCCTTGAATGAATGAGCTTGTTGGTGTTCTTTTGTGAGCACCTTCTCCACAGTCCCAGCTCAGTGCATGGATGCTGCTGATTCACTGGGGTAGATGCTGTGCTGTCCCCACCTCAGCATAACTACAGTTCACTTTTATAGGAAGGCAATGCACATACCTTCAAACCTGCTAAACACTGCAGGTTTCCAGCCAGGCTGTTTCCTATTCTCATGAATTCAATGCTATGGAAAATGGATTCTTTTCATTTTGATTTAATGGTGTAATAATGTTTACTGCTACAGTTTCTGTGGAATACCTTGAATTTCTGCTTGAAGGAAATATGCTGGAATAAATTTTCTCCTTGTGTTCCTCTCCAGGCCTTTGCACAGTTTGATGCTGAAGGAGATGGCACCGTAGATGTGGAGAATATGCTGGAGGCTCTCAAGAATTCTAGTGGAGCTAATCTTCAGGGGGAGCTTAGCCATGTAATCAGGCAACTGCAAGCTTGTTCACTAGTGCCAGGTATGAGAGCAGAGGAACAAAGCAAATGGTTTCCCAAGTCCTGCCCCATATAAGAGGTGCTGCTTCAATCAATTGCTTGAACTGCTTGCTTGTCCTAATCTTATCCAAACCATATTCCAGAAGGCTCTTGCTTCTCTGCTATCAAACTAGTGAAGTTGCTGTGAATTAAAGATCTCCCATAATTACATGCAGCTAATTTCCTTTCATGAGTAACCACTGTGTTCTTCTCTGTTTGACTGAGGAGTGTCTTGTCCTCATTTGGTTTATCTCACAGACAGACAAGAGTTTCTTGCAGAGTTTTGGTGAGTGCTCAGCTAATGCAGTCTTGTACATGGTAACTGGAGGAATAAATCCTCCATGGAGTCTGTTTCAGGTGATGAGTCATGGACTTTATTATTGTGATTACATTGTTACTCAGCATTTGAAATCCTGATAAAACATAATTCAGGTTTTACAGCACATGGTTCAGAAAAGTGTCAGTTTCCAGAGTTTGATTTCTGGGATCAGTATCTGTTACTGGCTTTCTTTCCAAGCTTTTGATGATAAGTGGCTAAAGGGGATTTGCCTTAAAGGATCAGACAAGACATGCTGGAATTGGCTATAGTAAGTCAGAGGAGAGTACTCATGGAGTGCTATTCCATGCATCTAAATGCACTGGGTTTCTGAGTGCCACTGTTAAGGAGCTGAAATTTCTTACTAAGCTGGTCAGAAGCACTAAGTACCTCTTTGGGAGTAATCCACAATGCCCAAGTGAAATGTTTAGTGTAGCTTAAGGTTAGTAATGTGAGTACATCAGCTTGTTAGCCAAACAGCAGCTGCTTCACTTGGATATGGAAGGTAAGGGTTTGGGACAGCAAAATAAGGGAATTGGCATGGTCAAGTCAGCTGATAGAAGCACAGTATATACTCTGTTGGAAGAGACACACAAGGATCATTGAATTCAGCTCCTGGCCCTGCACAGGACACCCTGTCAATCCCACCCTGTGCCTGAGAGCCTTGTCCAAATGCTCCTTCAGCTCTGTCAGGCTTGGGACCATGACCACTGCCCTGGGGAGCTGTTCCAGTGCCCAAACACCTCTGGGGGAAGAACCTTTGCCTGATATCCAGCCTAACCCTCCCCTGACACAGCTCCAGCCTGACAGGTCCTGTCACTGGTCACAGAGAGCAGAGGTCAGAGCTGCCCCTGCACTGCCCTTTGGGAGGAAGCTGCAGACCCAATGAAATCTCCCCTCAGTCTACCCCAGGCTGAACAGACCAAGTGCCTCAGCTGCTCCTCCTGTGGCTTCCCCTTAGGCTCTTCACCAGCCTCCTGTCTCTCCTTTGGACACTCTCTAATAGCTTTAGTTCTTTCTTACACTGTGGTGCCCAAAACCTCAAGGAAATGATGTCTCTTTCCAGGTTTTATTGATATCTTCTCCGAATCGAAGGAGCGCCTGGGCCTCCACGCCGCGATGATCCTGAGGTTCCTGCACCGGAACCGCATCTCCAGCACAGCCATCCCATACCCAGTGCTGGAGTACTTCAACAACATCTGCACCATGCGCTCCTCTGTCTTGAAGGACTCTCTGGATCGACTTCTCCTAAAGGAGAGAGGTATGGAATGACCTCCTTTGATTTCAGGATGGGGCTGTAGGCATTGTTTGAAGAACAGATTACATATAGACCAAAATGCTTTTTTTGCTGTATCACCTTTGACAGGGTATAGACCAAAACACTTTTTTTGCTGTATCACCTTTGACAGGCATGGTGTTTTATGAAGTTGATCTGCAGGTTTCTGTGGAGTTTTGTTGGGTTTTTGAAGGATTTCTGAATCACCCAGCAGTCTGAGTGACACACTGGGATGTTCTTCTCTTGCTCCTGCCCTGTTTCAGAATGATAGTTGCTAATTGGCAACATTCTCTATTCAGTCAAATGCCTCTCTTAGTTGCTAGATACTTAGTTTCCATGTGAAGGTGAATGTTTTTCTGATATTGACTGTTCAGTATGAAAAGGTAGTTTATTGTCTTGAACCAGAGGTAGTGAATCTTTTCCTGTGTCTCCCATGGGACTGGCCTGGTGGTCTCCCTAGAGCAGTGGCTCCTTTTCTAAACAGCTTCACTTGGTATTTTCAGATTTCTGCACTTCTGTTGAAATAGATCAAGTTACTTAGGGAAACAGTCTGCTTTGTCCCGTAGAATAGCTGAATTGAGGTTTTCTCCATAATAACTTACTTTTTCCTGTCATCTCTTTGTATTTTGGCACAAAAATAATAACGCACTGATGAGACCAGTAATGAAAGGAGGAGATAAAGGCTATTGAACTCCAGGCAGTGGAGGTGTTTTCATTCTGTGAGTGGTAGACTGAGATGATTGCAATTTCATCTGAAGTGAAACTTTTCTGTCTTCTGCTGTGGTCAGTGAGGTAGATTGAGAACTGGCTGAGCAGCAGATCCCAGAGAGTTGTGATCAGTGGCACAGAGTCTAGTGAAAGACCTGTGCTAGTGGTGTCACCTAGGGTTCTATACTGGGCCCAGTATTGTTCAACTTACTCATCGGTGAGGGGACAGAGAGCCTGCTCAGAAGGTCCACTGAAGATACAGAACTGGGAGGAGTGGCTGTTAGTCCAGAGGGCTGTGCTGCCCTTCAGGGGGACCTCTGCAGGTTGGAGAGATGGGCAGAGAAGTACCACCTGAATTTCAACAAGGCCAAGTGCAGGTCCTGCACCTGGGAAGGAATAACCCCAAGCACCGGTACAGGTTGGGCACTGACCTGCTGGATGGCAGCTCTGTGGAGAAGGACCTGGGGGTGCTGGTGGACAATGGGCTGTCCATGAGCCAGCAGTGTGCTCTTGTGGCTAAGAAGGCCAGTGGAACCCTGGGATACATTAAGGAAAGTGTTGCTGTTGCCAGCAGGTCAAGGGAAGAGATCCTGCCCCTCTGCTCAGCCCTTGTGAGGCCACACCTGGAGTGCTGTGTCCAGTTCTGGTCTCCTTAGGACAAGGGGGACATGGAGCTCCTGGAGCAGGTCCAGCATGGGGCAGTGAAGATGATGAAGGCACTTACGAGGGATCTGTGCCTGTTCAGCCGCAAGAAGAGGGGACTAAGAGAGATCTCATTAATGTATACAAATACATGAACAGGAAGTGCCAAGATGATGGATCAGGCTCTGCTCAGTGGTGCAAACCAATAAAACAAGAGGCAGTGGGCAGAAACTGATGCTCAGGAAGTTCCAACTGAATACAAGGAAGAACTTCTTTACTGTGCAGTCACTGAGCACTGAACAGATTGCCTAGAGAGGCTGTGGATTCTCCCTCACTGGATATTCAAGTGCTGTCTGGATGCAATCATGTGCCACGTGCTCTGGGCTGGCCCTGCTTGAGCAGGGAGGTGGGACCAGATGACCCACTGTGGTCCCTTCCAACTTAACTGACTCAGTGATTCAAGTTGTTGTCAGAAACAGTTCTGCAGGAGCTGTGTCCTGTGCCAGCAAGTCAATTGTAGTTATTACAAAGGTATAATGGTTCTCAAAACAAGCCAAAGAAGAATGTCCTGAGTGATTTCTGTCCTTTGCAGAATACCCCAGTGACCTGAACAGTAATCAGGAGTCTGACAAGCTGAAGTCTGTCACCAAGTGCTATACTCACATAGAAACCTCATCCAATTCCGCCGATATCGACAAGATGACGAACGGAGAAACCACATCCTTCTGGCAGTCGGATGGGAGCGCTCGTTCCCATTGGATACGGTGAGCCACACCACCACGTGCAGCTCAGCTTTGGGGTTCTTAGTCCTTAGGTCTGCACCCAGTGGGGTGTTGTGAGAGTTGACCCTGCCAGGTGCCCCCCAAGGCTGCTCCATCACTCCCTTCCTCAATGGCACCGGGGAGAGAAAATGTAACACAAGGCCTGTGGGTCAAGGTCAGGCAGAGCTCACTCACCAATTACCATCACAGGCAAAACAGACTCAACTCGAGGCATTTAATACAATTTATTAAATCACAGTAGGGTAAGGAGAAATAAACCCAAATCTTACCCTTTCTTCTTCCCAAGATTAAGTTCTATTCCAGTTTTCTCTACCTCTTCCCTACCCAGAGGCAAGGGGGTGACAGAGAATGTGGGCTGTTGTCAGTTCGTCACATGTTGTCTCTATCACTCCCTTCTTCCTCATGGAAAGGACTCCTCACATTCTTCCTCTGCTCCAGCCTGGGGTCCCTTCCATGGGAGACAGTCCCCCATGAAGTGCACAGTGTGAGTCCTTCCCACAGGCTGCAGGTCTACGTGAACTGCTCCACCGTGGGTCCTTCCCAATGGGTGCAGTCCTTCAGGAACAGGCTGCTCCAGCATGGGCTGCCTATGGGGTCACAAGTGCTGCCAACAAACCTCCTCCAGTGCAGGCTCCTCCATCCCAGGGGTCACAGGTCCTGCTTCCAGCAGCCTCTCACAGAAACCCCTTGTCCTGTGGCCTCCCCATTGCCAAAACCTTGTCACACAAACCCAGTACAGGTGTAACTGGAAAAAAGCATGGAATTAATGAGTGACAGATGAATGCAGCTGAAGTCATTAATCTCTGCATAAAGTTTAAAGACCTAACCACCAAATAAAAGTTCCCCTGTAAAACACTTCCATCTGCCATGCTGACACGCAACCTCGTGGTGTAGCAAAGCCTGCTGAGCTGTGGTGCAGGTGCAGTGGTTAGTACTTGAATAGAAGGCCTTTACCACTGTCTAGAGGGTTCCATGAAACAGAAATGCTCAATGAAACAGAAATGTTTAGTGTTTTTTCAGTGGTAGATCTGAAAAGGTATACTTTAAAATAGACAAATCTCCTTTTGGTCATTATTGACACCGTTTTTATTCCTGAGGAAGGAATTCTCAGCTGAGAAGCTGAATAGAAAATTCTAGTGTCTCACTCTCAGAGTTGACTGTCTTTTAAGTCAGACTTTTCTAACTTTGGGGTTGCTAATGTGTGAAGCCTTAGGTAATTTCCAGAGGATTTATTTGTGTTTGTAGGGTGGAACATGAGTGAAGCTTAGCTAAAAGTGCCTGACTTACCTTTTCTTTGCGAGAACTGTTTTATCTTCTTTGCTTTGCAGTTTAAAGATGAAACCAGATGTGGTTTTGAGACATCTGTCCATTGCAGTGGCAGCTAATGACCAGAGTTACATGCCACAGCAAGTCACAGTGGCAGTGGGAAGGAATGCCAGCAGTCTCCAGGAGGTCCGAGACGTTCACATTCCAAGCAATATCACTGGCTACGTAACACTGTTGGAAAACGCTAACATTAGTCAGATGTGTGAGTCAATAAAGATACCATTGGGATATTGTTTCGGTGTTCTCTGGAAGCTGAAAGGATGGGTAGATTGTGGAATGATGTGTTGAAGTGTTAGTCATTAGAGATAAAACTTTTCACCTTGGCCTTAGGTTAGAGAAATTGTTTTAATTGTCGTTTAAGTTCTGGTCTAAGTGTCTTCCAAGTCTTTCTCATGTCCTCTCTGTAACTTGGGCTTAGGGTTGAAGAGAAGAATGTCTAAAGATGCATTTTTAGCCTCTCAATTTGAGGACACAAGACAATTTTAAAATCTCTCTCCTTGCAGAGTGTGAGCATATGTTGGCTGATAGTATCTAGCAAAAAATATGCTTCTGAGCAGCTGGGGTTTTTTTGGTAACAAAACTCTGAAGTTGGTGAGATGGAAAGCAGGTTTTATGCTTAGGGTTTTTAAATAGTGTTATTTTTGAGCCTGGTATCTCTGTGGGTGATGTATTGGAATTAATCAGAGGAAAGCTGCTCCTTCCTAAGATGCCTCAGAAATGTTGTCCCTTCAGGTGTTTTTCTCTGAGATGAGCTTTCACTGCCCCAGAAGCAGGCAGCAAGCATGTTGTTCCTCAGAAGTAACTAGGACAATGTCTCTGTGTAAAATGGTCAAGAACTTCTGTGAAAATGTTCATGTAACTTAAAACTTTGCTTTAAGGCTTTACTCCTTTTCCCTATCTCCTCCACAGCCACTCGCTCCCAAGGCACTTCCTGTGTATGTAGTTAGGAAGGTACTGGTGAAATAATCTATTTTTTACTTTGAGGCTCTTTTCCTCCTGTTTTTCCTAATTTCTAGGCATATCATATGTCATGGATCTACAGGCTATTCAAAACCTAAATTTCCCAGGTCATAAGGTGCACAGTGGAGAAACACATGTGTACAGTTGTCCATATGAGGGAGGACTATGCTGCTATTTGTCTGAGAGGTTCTGCAGTAGTTATTGTTTGGAAGATCTGGATTCTTCTAGGTCTAATCCAGCAGAAGAAATGGCAAAAAAATTTGTGTTTTCTGTCTTGACAGATGTACAGATAAACATCAAGCGTTGCCTTAGTGATGGCTGTGACACCAGGATCCATGGGCTCAGGGCTGTGGGTTATCAGAGGGTGAAGAAGGTTGGGGTCTCGGTGTGTGATGCTTCAGCAATCTGGTATTGGTCCCTGCTGACCTCTCTGGTCACAGCTTCCATGGAAACAAACCCAGCATTTGTTCACACTATTTTGCAAAACACTCAGTAAGTACCAAAGTTCCACAGTGTGTGATTTGATTAATTTTTTCATTCTGTCTTTTAAATCCTTCTAGCTCTACTAAGCTAATCTGCCTTGTGTAACTGGTTTTCACTCCCTCCATTAAGGTTGTTTAACATCTTTTTGCCATCACATTGCTCAAATTTTTGATGTTTCTCTTCTCTCTGTTTGCACATACTGGAACAAGTGTCATTCTCCTGTTGTATCTAACCTAGTGTTAAAGCATGACACTGAAACCCACATTTTTTTACCTTTCCTTTGGCTTGTCACAATTCCAAGAAACCTAAAATTAATTCATTTTCATTATTCACTATTTGTAATCAATAAAATTAACCTCTTCCCCTTCATTTCCAGCAGATTTTTGCCTGTGTAATGCCTGGTGATGCATTACATGGGGATAGTCTATGCACTATCTGTGCTTGTGGTGACTGACCATTTTCTGTGTAACATTTCCTTGTCTGACTGCCAAACACTTCTGCTCGATGACTTGAAGGATTGGAATCCTAATAAAATCCCTCCACACCCACATCAGCTTTTATAGAGCTTAGCTAGTATGATGCCACCACACTTAGAGCAGTGCTGTCATTAGGTTAATGAATACCATAGGCTAAAGTCCGTTAAGCCTATCTTTTAATTTGTGCCATCTATGAAATCCCTTCAAAGTTTAGATAACTTCAGACTCACACCTGGAGAAGGTCCATAGTTACAAGCTTTACTGACTCTGAGGGCCTTCAGTTTTGCTACAGCTTAGATATTTTTTAAGAGATATAACATGAGCACTGAGCTGATAAAGCCTGAAAAAGTTGTAACAGAGAAATCTTGGGTAAACATATGCTTTCAGGAATTACAGGGTCAGTGTTTAGCATTATAAAGCAAAACCACCAACCTTTAGTACTGGTTAGAATGACTTCAGTGAAAGCACTTAAAAATTCCCAGTTTTGGTGGTTATTACATGATCTTTAGAATTCACAATAGTTCTGATCTAAGCTCTCTTAGTTTCTGCAATTGTTCTGAAGGAATTCCAAAACAATTTTCCCTTTATTCACAGGCTCTTGCTCAACTCTAGAACAGTTTAAAACAAACCAGTGCTTGGACATTGAGCTCTTTCCAAAGCTGTCACAGATTTAATTCCAATACCCTTGTTTTATTTCATAGAATCAA